GGGTTTCTTTAGCCTGAACGCCCTGCCTCCTCACTGTGTCTGTCTAGTTATGAAACCTGAAAATCGCGCTTTGATGTCAGGATTTCGTTAATTTTAAGAAGCAGTTCTCAGTGCTGGTGTAGATTATAGATTACAGATGGTGCCGTAGTTACACGTAAATCCATTCACGCTTCTCTGGGCGCTAGTTGGAGAGGGCTAAGCGGCGCCACATTTGGTCGTGGCGACTCTGGTCGTCTGCGCTATCTTTGACCTGAGCGTGGGAAATACCACCAAATTTTTCATAAAGGAAAATACAACCTCCTAGCAGCGACTAATACGATCCTCCTCGGTGGCGATCCCCAACATACAACGTCCCCTGTGATGTGGTCGTTTGCTCTCTTCTTTCTGCGTGGGGGAGAAAGTACTCACTTACTTTCTCCCCTACGCAGAAAGAAGAGAGCAAACGACCACATCACAGGGGACTGGGGATCGCCACCGAAAAGGATCGTATTAGTCGCTGCTAGGAGGTTGTATTTTCCTTTATGAAAAAGTGTTTCGGTTTTTGAATTCTCTGGGTTTTTCCCGTTTCATGTACGCTATATATTCGCGTTTCGAAGGCGGGTGCTCGAAGAAAAGTGGAAATAGTGGGGAGAAGGTGGTACGAAATTGGGAAATTTTAGAAAGATAATAGGTAACATGGTGGAAGGCGGTAGCAGAAGAGGAAACTCCGAGGGGGGGGGGGGGAGGAGGGGTCGTGCTTTGCAGTATTTCCCTAACGTCAAGACTTCTCCAGCATATTACTTCCCATTCCAACTTCCACGACGGCTTTATTCTCTAAATTGAGGCAAACTGGGAGCCAAAGGTATGAGGATTTTTTGACCGTTTAGGTTTAGAAGGAGCTGGGTAAATCACTTTATTCCCATATCGCAACTCCTTACCTCGGCCTTTAATCAGCTGATTGCGGCTGGTTTGCTCTCGTTCGTATTTACTCTTTCGTGTTTATCTTCTTCTCGGTTTATTCGAATATCGAATATTTATCTTCTTCTCGGTTTACTCGAATATCGAATATTTATCTTCTTCTCATTACTCGATACGCGTCAGAGCGCGCCCCAGCAATTTTGCTTGGACCGCTCAGAGTGCTTTTAGGAGAAGTTGGCTTCAATTTCCTGTTTTTTTTTTCTTTAAATTGGGTATATTCAATTTTGCAATTGAATTCAGTACCAGAGTTTTTGACTCGAGGAAAGGTGTGTGAATGGCCTTTCTTTTCTATTCTCTTTTCTGAATCAGGACAGAAATGAGCAAAAAGCGAGGGGGGCCTCGTTCAGGATTGTTACTTTTTCCATTTTTCGCGCTTACTTATACATAAACTTATGAAGTTTCTTCCTCCTCGAGGAGGGGGGAGGGAAGAAACTTCATAAGTTTATGTATAGGGGGTTACCGAACCACCCAAAAGGGGGGGGGTCGTACCGGCTTCACCAAAATCCCCAACTGCGTCACTCGTGCTTTTACGCGTATTCACCTCGCAAATGAGATTGATTGAGTTAGACCAATCCAATGAGTAATTGTAATAAGGGAGGAGCAGAATTAGGCATTAGCAATGCCGCCGCCCCGACTAAGAACAACTGAGTGGCCTCCGTCGGAGGACATCTAGCAAGTAAGGCGGTCCAACTGAGCAGGCGTTAGAACTAGAACTTACAGCGGCTGTAGCTCGCTTCTCGCTCGCTGTGCAGACGAATAGAGTGGGACAGTCTCTAGCTTGGGGGCTGTACTACTTGCACAAGGAAGGACGACCATGTACTACTCGATCGCGGGGGCTGTCTTCAACATTGACGTCCGCGTGATTGCACAACTATTTGGCATCAACCTGCTTTGGTAGGCGCGTGGACCGCGCAATTGTAATACAATCACGGATGAACAAATTCCAATCTTTCTCTAGTGCATGATTTATTGTTTAGTTTCTCCTATTTATTCTATAGTCCAGTCCTTAGTATAGTCGTATGCGCGTGTCCATGGAACAGTTCAGTACACAATAGTTTAGCAAAGACGTTTTGGGGAAACATCATTCTTTCCCCAAAAAGTCTTTGCTAAACTATTGTCCATGCGTGCCGCATCCCACAAAGGGGTTGATCAGCGGCGAAGACTTTATCCTTTATCCTTTATCATCCTTTGCTTGGATTGTTTTGCTCCTTTACTCTGGATTGGTTTGCTATTAACTTTCTGCCAACAAATACAGACAATTACAATATTGATAATGATGAAAAAATATTAGGTGAAGGATTCTGAATCCTATAGAAAGCACGATTTGCGTTTTTTATGAATTGTTGGTTACAGACTATTTCCTGGCCCTGGTGCAAAGAGAGTTGGCCAGCCCAGATTTTTCCCTGGTACATAATTGACTTACTTCTTAACTGCTCTAAAAACTAGGTTTTTCGATCCGTCTGCTAAAAAGCGCTTCGTGGGACGGCCTGAAGTGTATGCATGCCGCGCTTGTGCCGTTCAAGAAAGCGCGCCGGTCCCACGTGGCCGAAGAGTAAAAACCCGTGAAAGCGTTGTGTGATGGCAAGGCGAGGGATATGGCCATCAAATATGAACCACTGCGAAGAAAACAGGAAAGAAAACGAAGAATATGGGTCTCGTAAGAGTCTCCTCATCGTTCGACATCGTAAGAGTTCACAACAGGACGAGTTTCCAAGTTCTAGACTCCATGCTAGCAAATGCAGCCAACAACTAGAACATTAGAATCGTGATGTATGCGGGAACCTCTGCGGTGCAAGCTACCCAGCTCGCTAACCTCTGACGCAGTTTCCACGCATTTGCGAGTAGCGAGAACGGGTTGCTTTTGGCGCTTCCAGAACTGCTCCATAACACCCAAGGTGCGGTTGACTCATTCCCTGCTCTTCCAGTTGTTAATCATTTGACAACCATGATTGTCCAACACTACTACGAGATATAGCGCGCGATTTACGTCCTCATAATTAGTACCGTTTCATGGTAGAGTCTTGCTGTCCATTACGAGGGTTATGTCTAACGTTCCGTGGAGATACTTGCGACACCATGAACAGGAACAGGTAAAGAACAGGTCGGTCAGCGACGGTCGAACAGCGCGTTTTCAAGTAAGAGTAAGTGACACAGACTTACTTAAAACAGCTGGCCCTAAATGTATGTGCCGTCGGCTGACTCCAGAGTAAACGTGACATCATGGGAAGGCGATTGGAGGGGTACAGCTACTCTGGTCCCACTCCGTGAAGCTGTTTTCGGAACCATGAGACCGAATGGTGTAGTGTTATATAAAAAAGCTAGTCCCAAGCGCATGAGATGGTATATACTGGCTTATTCGCGAAATGAGGTGGTCTCGTATTTGGCTGCCGGAATAATCTGATACGAGTGGTCTCGTCGGTGGAAGTAGTAGCATGTTCTACGAACCTAAGCATACATCTCAATCTATATGAGGGTCATGCTTTAAGCACCCAACCGAACACCTACGCATTCAAATGGTTATAGGAATTCTGTCGACCCAACATTCTCTCGCTGGGAGGGTCCAGAGGTTTTTCTCTTATCATCTATTGGTCGATCATTTGAAGAGAGAAGGAGAAAGAAAAGGGAGAGAGAGAAGCACAGCGAAGGAAAAAGAAGAAGTAAGCAGGAAGAAAAAGGAAGAAGGAAGGTTTCGCGGTTGGCAAGTATCCTGGGGAGAGGTTCTAATCACACGACTCAGTTACACCTGAGGGTTGTAAGTATATTCAGACACCTATGAAAGGATGCTTCGCTAGGTTTAGTGCTAATCTAGAAGGGGGAGCTGGGCCTGGTGCTTCGCCAGCCCGTTTTCCACGAATCGTTTTAGCTTGCCACTTTAACAATTGGTTTAGAATGGACTTGCGCTGAGGCATAAAGAAACGTCTTTAGGCGCTGTTTCTCTTGGAACGCGCATTTGGCACTTGTACTAGTCCTTTTTCCCAGTTCATGTTGATTAACAGATTATGTTTTGATCGAACCTGTGAGCTCATGTGAAGCTGCGAAATGGTATAAGTGAGCCACTTTGCTTACATGATTCTACAGGTCTTCACAAGAGTGGCGTGAAAATACCTCGGCTAAGTACATTGGTGCCCGCACCGAGCCAAAAAACTACGCCATATCCATGAAGTGTATTTAAGCAATTTCCACGATCGAAAATCTACGGCGTTGTAAGTTTTAAATCATGGACCAGAAGCCCATAAGTAACTTCCTAGTAGAGGAGGAAGCGTCAAAAAACCTTGGGAACACTCTGAACGGGGATCCCCTTACCAGCAAAATTCGATGTGCAACCAATTCCCGGCAAGAGTACAGGAAATCATCCTATGACGCTCTAGAAAACGCTATGTACACAGGCAATTCCGCTTGTAAGCCGTTGTCTTGCACAGTAGAAGTAATCGTGGTTGCAATGGTTATACTTACGCGCCTCTAGATTCTTTATTTCGCCGTTTCGAGTGACGAAAGTGGTATATATTTTGCGAATACGAACAACGATGCCAAAGCACGGAGGCATTCGCGGACTCCACTGACCGCGGAAACTGCAGTTATACTCGACGCAACTCACATGGAAGCCAGTGCTACATTGAACAGTTTTTTTTATCGTCTACGTAAGTAAATCTTGATCCAGGTGTAACAAAGTAGTAGCTTCCTTTGGAGTGTCCCAGTCACGCAGAGGAGCCCAAGCTTGTATTTTACCTGTATCCGTTAGGTACCGAAAACAACAATACAACAATTATCTCGTCTCAATTGACGAATTCATTCATACAGCTGCCACAAATGGCAACTCACACTACAGTCCCTCCGTACCCGATCCGAGATCGATCGGAGATAATTGATCGAGTTCGTAAAACCAGAAACATCCGTTGAGTTACTGTTTTCGTTCCATTCAGCTCATTATTCCATATAGTTTATAATCCGTATCACGCTGTAACAACAACGACATCCATCGAAAGTGTGATTACTTCGACTTCCGCATTCGGTCAAGTCTACCTCATCCACTCGCCTGTACTGTAATGGCCTTTCTGATACTGCTCATTTGCGTCCAGTTAATTTCGGCCCAGGATGGTATATTTCCCAGTGAATCCAGCTACTTGAGTCAAGTACCTGATGCCCAACCGCCTCTACTTGCTGACCCAAGTTCTACCACTGATGCCACCCCTGAACCGATCTCTGCAATTTCGGCCCAGCAGACTACGCAATCCGCATATTCCTCATCCACATATTCCTCAACTACTACATTACCATTATCGGTGAACATGGTGATTAAGAAACATACAAATTTTTTCTTGATAAATCATAATGACTCTCATTCAAATTAGCCACTTTTGTGAACTTAGGATGCGATTTCGTCCTGCATGGGTAAACTCAAGCTAGCGTGTTTGTTGAATCTGTATGTCAGACGACTGCTAGACAGATACGTTGGATCAGGACGACTGGACAAAATTAGAGACGTAATCGAAGCCGAGGTATAGACCAAAACAGTAGAGCTTCTAGAGATTCATTTCTTCATTTAGAATACGTTAGTTCAAAAATGACAGACGTCAAAAGCGTCGGGGTGTTAAGGCAGCGTTCATAATTTGCGTCAGCGGTTTGAGTGTACGGCAGCGCTTTGAGCGGTGGGCAGTTGCTGAAGAAGTTCGTATGCTCAAAACGCTGCCATACGCTGGCATAGGCTAGATCGATAGCTGTACTTTCACTACTTCGCTCAAACACGGCTGCACGCTCAAAAACGCTGACGACAAGAGTGATGAACAAAATTTAGTGGTCCGCCTGCTATTCGACAGTGACAGGAGGCGACACGCAACATGCTTATCGGCGAGGCATACGTCTAAGAATAGCCTACAGTGTCTGACTGCCGAAATTCCTCAAAATTTTAAGATTCTCAATGGACCGTGACAGGGATGTATGCCTTTGATGTAAAAAAACTCAGGCAATTTGTTTTCTTTCCCTGACACCTGATCTCTCGAGACGCTGTCACCTCCTCCCTATCCCGGGAGGGTACTCTGACTCGCTGAACTAATCCCGTTCGCTTGAAACGAAAACTTCCGACGCTCGCGCATAAGAGTTGGTATCACGGGCCCGCAGGCCCGTGATACCAACTCTTTTGCGCGAGCGTCGGACGATACCAACTCTTGCGCGAGCGTCGGATTAGTGGGAGCTTCGAGCGTCTACCAGAAGTTCAAGCGCCACGCAACATTGACATTTGTTGAGGGTCAACTTGCCCCATGAGACAATTTTCTAGCGCACTCGGTGCTTTAGGTTTTTTTGGAGCCCGGCGCTGATGGCGCCCACCTGGTTGTTTCAAGATAAAAGGATGTCAAGTTTGTGTTGAGGGTATTAAACTATGTGAGGGACGAATGTCCAGTCAATCATACCCTTATAGTTAGATTAAAAAAAATCGGTCAAAATCTGGCTTGAGCTTGGAAGGATGGGGCAGTAAAGGGTGAGTCGAGCCAAACCTTTCACGTTTACCTTCTGCCAAACCTTTATCATTTGCCGCTATGGCAGCATTTGAGTCGTTTTTTCTTGGTCTTCTTACTAATGCGATTTCAAATAGTCCTGTTTGGAAAGGAAAAGGTCTCAAATTGCGCATCTTTTTTTGAATGCCAGCGCATCTTTTTGCTGAATGCCATTCGACAGAAACATGCCGTAATTCTGGAGAATTTCCTTGTCATTTCTTCCAAACTATCTAGAACCGTAAATAAGAGAAAATGTGAACTGGAGTTTGATAGGTCGTTTCGGTGTTGATTCGTCAAACGGTAATGCAGATATCTGCAGACAAAAAAAGGAAAAGCGAAAAAGAGTTTTCGGCAAACCTCGAAGCTATTGTATCTGCACTGAAATAATGTATTTAGGCTGATATGATTTGCAATCCAGAGGAAAATATGGCGATGGATGCGTTTCTGGCCAATTACACGGATGCGATCAACGTCGCTCTAGGAGGTGATCATTCGCGAGTTAGGCAGCGTTCATACTTGTAGCGCTACAGCGTCGCGCTACTGCGTCGCGCTACAGCGTCGCGCTACTGCGTCGCGCTACAGCGTCGCGCTACTGCGTCGCGCTACAAGAGGGGAGGGCGTAAACGAACATAAGTACCTAGCCTGCGTCGCGCTACAGCGTAGCGCTACAGCGCCGCTTCGCAACGTACTGCTATTTCCAACGTTAGGATGATTAGAGTTGCTTACAGAGAAAAGTGGGAAGGTTGCTGGAGTTTTCTTGAGAAATTCACGGAAAGGTGAGACTGATACAGCTGTAACTATCTGACGCGCCATCCGTGACAGTCACTCCATTAGCCAGTATTCTTCTGATACTGCTTTTTAGCGGTACTAACAGGGTACTTCTGTCCTAATAAGAGCATTTTCTGCAAAAAACACCCAAAGAGTACTCGCGCCACCTAAAAACAAGCACGCATGTTTTTTTTACCGGAGGACACAAGAACCATAAAGGAACTTCTTGTTCGCCTTGTGTTAACGCATTGGTGACCAGACAGTCTTCGCGTGCCTGTTGTGGGAGATAAGGCCATTTTTTTTCTGCTGCCGACAAATGCGACTCAATACTGATACGCTCCTAGGCCAAAAAAAGTACAAGAAACTGTCAAAGCTTTGTTGGCTGTGAATGCCTCGAAAACCGGCATAAATCTTTTCCTGTGATCCAGGCAGAGATTGGGGGCGAACTCGAAAAGCAAATTTCGCTCCATAATCCATAAGCAGCATTGGATTCTGTATTCATTCATTCTGTATTCAAACCTCTTCTCTTTTTTCTCATATTTATCTGATAGTGAGCTCATGTTGTCTACATTATCACATTTAATGTAGTTTTTGATACAGGAGACCGTTATAATTGGTTTTATTTACCGTTTTTGACTTTAATTCTTTGGTTTCAGAGTTGCTATTGATGTCTGATGGCTTTGCTTGATGCCTTGCAGTGGTGCCTCACGTTGACTCCGATGACGAAATAGTTTTTGCAGCCACGTACGATGGCAAGCCAGGATGTTTGTGTCGGCCGCGAGTACTCTTTGTGTGTTTTTTTTGCAGAAGAATTCTCTTAGGACAGAAGGACACTGTTACGCTAAAAGCAGTACCAGAAGAATAGTGACTAATGGAGTAACTGTCAAGGATGGGTCAGATAGTTACAGCTGTATCAGTCTCACCTTTCCGTGAATTTCTCAAGAAAACTCCAGCAACCTTCCCACTTTTCTCTGTAAGCAACTCTAATCATCCTAACGTTTGGAGCGCGACGCTGTAGCGTACAAGTGAATGACGCTGCCTTATGCAAGTTCAAAGAGAAATTCTTACTCGACCACACGCTTTGTCCAAATACTCTTGGAATGAGCATCTTCGAAAAAATGTTCTACTAAGGGCGCACGCTGCGATCATTTGGAAAGGGGCCTTTTTAAGCGCATCGAGAAGGACCGCAGCAGCAGAACCGCAGCACTCTCGCCCCTCTAAGGGGGGCACTAAGCTGAAGCCGTTTCGTGAGATAGATGATGTTCTTTATTTCTCCAAACCAACCATTCGATACGCGATACGAACTCATAGCTAGGCTTCACATGGCCAGCCGTGAGATTAAAGTCAGGCGCCCTGTAACTAAAGTCAAGCGCCATGTGGCTACAGTGAGGCATAGTGGCTTGTCGTTTGGCATACGGCGTGACTGTGGCGTGCGTATCAAACACTGGGAGGAGAGCCAAAGAACATCATCTCTTCACAAACCTACTGCTCACTTACGAGAGCATCATCTCTTCACAAACCTACTGCTCACTTACGATGCACCTTTGAATGACATTTTTCCCTTTTATCAGTTACGGTTTTTTAGTAACAAACAACCTCACCAGCAGCGATAAGGATCAAGTGAACACAATGGAAAATCTAAACGACACAATCGGAGAACGATTTTTCTATTTGCGCAAATTCAGCGTAAGCTCTGTCTAAGCTTTCTATTGCAAAAATTCGAAAAAAAATGTTACTAAGAATAAACCAGAAAAGA